CGCCCACCCCCAGCCGCCGGGCCTGTGAGCCGCCTGCCTGTAATGCCACCGGCCTGCCTTTAACGTCTGGCCCGACCCGACCCGCCCGGCGCATAACTTCTTATCGCTGCCAATAAGCAGGGGACGCTGTCAGCCCCGCTCAGCGGGCTTAGCGGACCCGTGAGGCGGAGCAGGGGCACCAGAGCGCCTGGAGCAGCAGGACCAGCACCACCAGCACCACCAGCACCACCAACAACCTTAGCAACACACAAGCACCCTTAGCACCGTAGCACAACTAGCACCACCTGCACCTGCACCCTCATCACCAACAGGACCAACAGCAGCAATTGCATCACCAGCACTATCAGCACCAACAGCTGCTGTTGGCAACAGCATCACCAGCACCCTCTGCACCAACACCCTTACGTTAGCTCCACCAGCACCCTCAGCACCAACAGACCACCAGCAGCGCCGCTCGAGCGGCAGGCCCGGGACGGGTTGGGCAGGGGCTAGAAATGAGTCCGGAGCAAAGAAAATGAGTTGTGCAACACGAGGGTGCAGTGACGGTACTACCGAGTCCCGCTATGTGCGAGTATGTGTGCGTGTGTGTGTGTGTGTGCACGTTATATGAGGCCGAACACGAGACGAGACTACCCTCACCCGCTCTACACCCAACCCTCCACACCGCTAGGCCAACCACGCTATCGAGGCTGTTGGCGCCCCAGATGGGATGGGAAGAGCAAAGGATCTGGGCTGGCGAGGCACTCAGACCAGGTTTATGGCCCAGCCTCGCCTCGCCTTCCTCCGCCCGCTCCGCCCATGCAGCGGAAGGGGTTGGCGCGCGGGAGATCCGTGCGGGGGCGCTCAGCTCAGGTCGCCCGAACACAACGTAACGTTAACCGGGTCAGCATGCTGCTGCTGGTAGCGAGCTGGTGGCAGGCAACCGCGCGGCACAACGCCGAGCGTTTATACGGCGCAAATTTCCCCATTGGAAACTTTGTAGATTTTGTCGGGGCGCTTTGTGCCCGCTCTCGCTATCCGCCCGGACTCCAATGTACCGCATAATCCCACGCAGTCCCGCCCCCCAAGGGGCCGCCGCGCGGGGAGCTCCGCCTGCACGGCCCACCGCCCAGCCCAGCCCAGCCGGAAGGTTGTGCGCGAGAACCGGAAGTGCGAGAACGGAACCGGTAAACCGTTCGAACGGTTGCGGAAGTACGGTGTGGCGGGGCGCGGGAAGGGCGTGGCGTGGCGGGGCGGGGCAGGCTGAGCGGAATAATCGATGCGCGTTGGCCGAGCGCGCCTCTCGCCCCGCCTCGCCCGCTTCTCGCCGGCAGCAAACTGGAGCGGATTATTAGTGTTGCCGGGATCCCCCTTCCCTGGTAAATCAAGGTATCGGAACGAGAAGAGAGGGCCCTACCCGGCGGGCCCCGCCCCGCGTGGAAGCGAGGGCCGGAAACAAGCAGCGCCGGAGCGAGAGCGTGAGGCGGAGGGAGAGAGCGAGAGAAAGCGAGAGAGCGAGAGAGAGAGAGAGAGAGAGAGAGAGAGAGAGAGAAAGAGAGGCGGAGGGAGAGAGCGAGAGTGCAGGGCCAGCAGCAGGTCTAATTGCCCCCTCCCGTGCCGTGCTGCCGGGCTCCGCGCTGCAGCTGCCGGTCCACCTCGAGACCTGATTGCCTCCTCTCTCCGAGTCTCATTTCCGCGAGCGCGAGCAGCTATGGAGCTGGAGGTTCCACTCGCCCGCGCGTTCACGAGGCGCGCGCGAAGACGCGATCTTGTTGAGATTCGCGGCTTCTGGAGGCGGGCTTTTGGCTTGGCGCGCGCGGGGGGGGGGGGGGGGCATCGGAAGCCCCGAGCTCGCGGAATCCCCTCCCAAAAGCTGAAATATTAATTTACACAGATGCGAGTGAGGTTTACCTACTCCACTCCCGCCGTGGGGGTGGCTTAGAGAGGCGCGGGCGGGGTGGGGCGGGCCATGCCCCCCCTCCCCAACACCCCTCGTAGCAACAGGCCAGCCCGGGGGAGGATAAAGAAAGCAGGCGTCGTTTAAGAGGGCGTCAAATGGGGGGGGGGGCAGGGGACACACAGAGGGGAAAATATTGTTGAACTGAAATAATTTGAAATAATTGGCGAAGAAAGCGGAGGGAACAGCGGGGACGGAGATAGCGAGAGAGACAAAAGAGTTGGGGCGAGAGAGTGAGAGGCGCTAATGCTGGTGACGCGGTCTCACAGCCACTCCGCGGCCCGTCTGCGGCCCGTCCGTGACAATGACAGATCCGCGAGGCCCCTAGCGGTAATTAAGGGCACAACCGCGGGCGTGGCGTGGCGTTGCGGGGCGGGGCGGGGGTGGAAGATGGGGGAACACGAGGACTCCCCCCTCGTGGGTCTCTACCTCTGCACTGTTGTTGTGTAGTTGTTCTTCTTCTTACTCTCCTCTCCTTCCTCCTACCGACCGCGACCCCCGCCAGATCGACAACCACAGCGTGGCGTTGAGCGAGCGTGAGTTCTTAACTGAATGTAGCTCAATGTACCGCATCCCTTGGCTCGAGAGTTTACTTCTTCTTTCGTCCACCGCTACCGGTGCCCGCCGGCGCAAAGTTACTAGTTAAATATTCTCCAACCGAGGCCGCTACTTTTCGCTGCTGACTGCTTAACAACGCCATGACCCACAGATCCCGATCCAGAGGCATCAAAATCAGCTCAAACGCAGTCACAGGATGTTCGGAAAGCACGGTGTAGAGTGAGTGATCATCCAGAAAGTATACGTCAGTCATTCGCCGTTACGAACCCTTGCCAAGTTCAGCCATGTAAGCTCTCGAAGCGCCTGCTAGGTAGGCAAGATCTTACCTGCAGTGCACGCGTGTACTGCGGGTTGGCCTACCCCGAGTCTCGCAGGCGCCGAGGTCTCGTTAGTTGGCCGAATGAACGAACCAAAAATTTCGCTTAACAGAGCGAACCGAAAAAAAACAGCGAACGCAACAAATTTCTGTTAAAATCAAACATATGTTAGCTGATATTTTAGCTAAATTTTAGCAAAACGTCAGCAAAATCCAGTTCAGAGGTTTTTCCTTTAGGGACTCCAAACGACTCACTCGCTGTCGCCAACTCTGGTGTGGTGGTGACCCTTTAGAAATACGACAACGTGACACTTCACTACAGGTGTGAATAACGCGCCCTTCTTATTGTCAGCAAAAAAAAAAAATGAAAGGAAAAAAGAGCTGCCTGCGAATAACGCACACCAGAGCACACCGTCACTCAACTCGCCCTTAACACTCAACCATCGCTTCCCTCCCCCTCCGCCCCCGCGCC